AATGAATATGGTCCATTCTTCAGAAAGTAGTGAGACCAGTCTAACGAAATGTTGCTCTATAGCAGTGTTTTCAGATTTAATGGGACCGGTGTTTCACAATAGAAATCTAAACAATTGGGCAACATTAATTGAAAGAGGGAATGACCAATTAGAAGGAGAGCTAGCAGCATTTAGGATCGGAGGAAGAGGGGCTTTAAGGTAGGTAGCAAACTAAATGGAAAATAATCTACATTTTAAAAAAACACTGACAAGTATTGGTTACTGGTTACATATATGACTATGTATCCTTTTGAAAAAATAAAGGAAGTTGTTTTAAAGTTTACTTATTGAGAAAAAGTGGTTAGACGATAGTTCTGTTATGATGTACAGGATTTGTCAGTAGACTCTCATTCCAACAAGATAAGTGCTTTATCATTAATCCTCAAAAATATGGAAAACCAAACCAAAACAAAACACCTAACCCTGCCTTGGTTAATAGAAATAAAAAGAAATGTGCCAGGGCAAACTACCAACAGAGAACAAAATTAAGTATCTCATTTATTTAATAAATACTTACTGACTACCTACTGGTGTGCCAAGCAGCACACTGGATACAATGGAGTGAGAATGAGACAGTTCCTGTTCTCTGAATTTCTGAGTCAAGCACAGGGTCAGGTACCTCCAACATATCCGATGGGTAAACTAGTACGCCCGGTCACAATGGTGATACACCACATCTAGGAATACATCCCAATAACCATGTAAGCCATGGACAGTAGGCACAGTATGGTGTTAATGAATCTGCACTCCTGATCTAGGTTTTATCTCCCCATTTATCTCAGCTTTAATCTTTTATCATTGCACCTTCCCTTCCTTTTACTAGTCATTCCCAAGGTAATCATATACAGTTCCACACGCTGCGATTTCTGGACTACTGGCTCCAGAGGAATTCTTGAGTAGAATCAGTGTTTAGGGATAGGAAGAAGAATCAGACACGGGTCTTTTCATTTTTGAGTGTATGTATGGGGTGTCTGTATACATATATACACACACATATGTATGTACATATATAATACATATATATGTACACACAAACACCTACACACACACAATTTCAGAATACTAGAAATCTATTTGAATTATATTCAATAGATTATATATACACACACACCCCATTACACTTGGATTTTTAGCCAGAAAAAAACTATATATAGATTTTTTTTTTTTTTTTTGAGACATAGAGTCTTGCTCTATCGCCCGGGATGGAGTGCAATGGTGAGATCTGGGCTCACTGCAACAAGTGATTCTCCCGCCTCAGCCTCACAAGTAGCTGGGACTACAGGTGCCTGCTGCCACACCCAGCTAATTTTTGTATTTTTAGTAGACAGGGGGTTTCACCATGTTGGCCAGGCTGGTCTCGAACTCGTGACCTCAAATGATCCACCCACCTTGGCCTCCCAAAGTGCTGGGATTACCAGCATAAGCCACTGCGCCCAGCCAAAATTACATATAATACAGCTTTAATACGTACTTAGGGTATGTCCAGAGCATATATAATATATATAGTTTTTATCTGGTTAAAAAATAATCCAAGTGCAATAAACCAGGTGCTGTGAGGATAGGGAAAGGCAGGGCGGTGAGCTGCAGCAGGACAGGGAAGGCCAAGATCTACTGTGGGCTGCGTGGGAGTTGGGGTAGGGAGGCCTCAGCTCCCGGTGCTTGGTGGGAGGACCCTTAGTCCTCTAGGCAGTGCCTGATAGCCAGAGAGTAGTGAGCAAACAACAGGTGGTAGTTCAGGAGCGCAGTGGGGATCGAGACATCCAGCCTGAGGTAATGGGGGAAGGGAGGCCCAACAGATAGGTAGAATACAGACACAGGGAGTCTAGAAACAAAGAGCTGGAGGCAATTAAGTGATGCCACCAAGAATACCTACAACTGCCCAGCAGTCTGGGCGCAGGGATGCAGCTGAGTCCAAACAACAAGCAGATAAATTTGAGGTCCTGGCAAGCTAACAGGTCAGGGTTTCAGACACAAGAGAAGGGCTGTCAGTTCTTAGAAAGGGGTCAGGCAGTGGGAGGCTGAGTCTTGAGCTTGGGACCGAAGCTCTGATAATTCTTCCTGCCTCAAAGCCTAGGAAAGATCAGGTTGTATGGTAAAGGGTGTACGGATAGTACGTGAAGGAGAAATACAGAGGCCACGGACTAGGTAGGACCAAGTGAGGGCAGCAATATCCTCCATCATCTGTCTTTCAATCATAGTAGCCAGTGCTTTGAGGCAAAGATAAATTAAAATGGAGCTAAGGGAGAAGGAGCTAGTTGTTTAGAAGTAAACAAAAGAATAAGTAAAACACTGTACCACCACAATGAAAATGAATTCAGGTTTTTAAACTTCCTCTATTTTGTGCACTGAATTATATACATCCATCTTATTCTTAACCACAGTTTCTGTTTCAGTTTAGTCCTTCTAAGCCATGATGGGGTGCTATTAACCAAAAAAAAATAATGTAGCAGTGTCAATGCTGAAAAATGAAGCTGCTGAAAAATGAAGCTGTTTATTCTCCCTAACTCCCACCCATTTAATATCGGGTTTGAAGTCAACCTAAAGGGTCACCCTACCAATGGCATTCCTTCACTTGTCCCTCCTTACTGGGCTCTAACTTGTCATCAGACCCAGAGACTTCGTGCTGCCTTTTGCCTTATAAAATCTTTACAATATGAAAATGACTTTGAATGGTCAGCTTGGATTAATCTATTCAACTTGGATCCCTGAAGGCAGAAGTCCCATTTCACTGAAGAGGATGTAATCCACAGCTTTCCCAGCCAACCTTCACTCTTTCCAAGATAGCCATGCCACCCTCTAACACTAAAAGGGTCTTGGGGACAAGGTTCAGAAATGCTTAGAGGACATGTGTGCTTATTTCTCTTCTTTCGTTTAACAAATATTCACTTGCCAGGCACTAGGCTCTAAGGAGAGAGTTGAGAACAGATTGACAAAGTCAAGCTGGCCTGTAGTCCCAGCTACTTGGGAGGCTGAGGTGGGAGGATCACGTAAGCCCAGGAGTTCCAGGTTACAGTGAACAATGACTACGCGACTGCACTCCAGCCTGGGTGACAAAGTGAGAACCTGTCTCTGAAAAAAGAGACTGACAAAGTCTTTTGCTCATGGAGTTTATATTCTAGTGGGGCAGAGGGGCTCAGACCACAAACAAATAACTAAATGCACAATGTAATTAATGAACGCTGCTTTGGGCATGTAACAACTACCTCTCTTGGGACCTACCTGGGCAGAGGAAAAGGCCATTTCCAGCCTATTCTGGTAACCCACTTAAAGGAATACCAACACATTACAGAATGTTAACTGTGGATCCCGAGGTGTTGTTTTTGAGTTTAGGGGCCAGACCACACGTGTCCAGATGTCTCCCTAGGCAGGCAGACTGGAGAAACGGGCTGGCATGCATAAACATGCCAGTAGCCAGGGAGAACAGCATGCCCCACTAGCTGCTGGTAGCTAGGGCATTGAAGCTGAGGATTGAAGCCTGGCTACTAGCTGGGCCTTATCAAAGGAGAGTGAAAAATTCCAGAAGATTTGAAAAGGAGAGCCTTTTGCAGAGAAGCAAAGATATCATGACTTAAAATTTGATGCTTCAATTTTGCTCTCATTTCTACAGTGGCAGATAACACAAGCCAGGCAACACTCATTTGTACATTTCAGAAACTTGATGTACTAAGGCTCCCACCTGAGATTGTTGTCTATTTTATAGACCAATTCATATGTCTAAAAATCCAACTAGGCTATAAAGAACATAATAACACGCTTGTCATGGTTTTCTCTGCCGACACATTGCTCAGCATACATCAATGAGAGCTTTGACCAACCAATCTGAATCTCCTTAAGCAAAAGGCCCATCTTTTCCTTTAAACTAAAGCCGGAGCTGGGCGCGGTGGCTCACGCCTGTAATCACAGCACTTTGGGAGGCCGAGGTGGGAGGATCACGAGGTCAGGAGATCGAGACCATCCTGGATAACACGGTGAAACCCCGTCTCTACATTTTTAGTAGAGTATTTTTATCAAAAAAATTAGTCGAGCATGGCGGCGGGCGCCTGTGGACCCAGCTACTTGGGAGGCTGAGGCAGGAGAATGGCGTGAACCTGGAAGGTGGAGCTTGCAGTGAGCCGAGATCGCACCACTGCACTCCAGCCTGGGCGACGGAGCGAGACTCTGTCCAAAAAAATAAAACAAACAAACAAACAAAAAACTAAAGCTGGGTATTATGAAGGAAACTTGAGAAAGAAAAGTGACCAATTTTAGTTGATGCAGGTAATCTCACTTATCCTATTATTCCTGCATAGCAAGATACTATAACCCATGACTGTCAAACCTGAGACAGCTGAAGAGCCCAGAAAAAAAGATAAGAGAAGAAAATAGAATTGAAAAATAATTCAGAATGACGGAGGCTATCTGCAGCATTAAGGGCAAAGGCAGGTGTAAGAAGAAAAGGGAGACAGAATAAAAGATAAACCAAAAAATTGAAACAAAAATACAAGGGAATTCAAACATTTACACCAGAATATAAGGGAATCTAAACATCTCTTCAGGTGAGAATGTGTGTCAATACAAGTGCTTGGCACATTGTTTTCTTTCCCCCTTTCTTTTTACTCAGTTTACCCAGTTTTAAAACTGATTTTTAAAAATACATCTTCAAAAGAACATCTTTTGTTAAGTGACTTAAACTCGATACATTCCTTGGATTACTAAGGAGGTTAAGGACACATTTGGTGAAAAAGGGGCCTATCTCCTCTTTCTTCATATACAGGTCATCGAATACTTTTAAAAGCATTTTCCACCATGAATGAGGGGAAATGGAAGAAAACAGGTGGCGACAATTAGTTGCATTTTCCAAATGGACAGAATGAGCCTCCGGAGGGTACACGAGGTCACCAGAGTGAGCCCGCGGTGGAACTGGAGGCGTATTTATAGCTGGCTGACCTCAGTCCTGTTGGGCCCTCGCCGCTCCTTATCTTATGCCGCTGGAATTCGCGGGCTCGCAGATCACAGGGGCCCGGGCGCGCCAGGCCTGGCGCTCCCGAATCGATGAGGAAAGCCGCTCTCCCCGGCAGATCTTCCCGGCCGGGGCGCCTCCATCACCCTGCCCGCGCCTCGGCACGCTGGCAAGGAGCCCGGGAAGAGACGCCGGGAGCGGTGGGTGGGCGAGGAACAAATGCAACGTGACTACATTTTTCTTTGTCGCAACTACCACGACCTGGCCATCCCCCACCTTGGTGACTTGGTGCCTTCCCAGCGACCTGCTTATTTCACGCCAGCTGACTGGCGTTCACTGCAGTGTGAGTGTCGGCCGGAGGACGGGTCCACGCGAAGGAGCCCACAAGAGCCGGGCTCTCGAGCCCCG